AAAAAAAAAAAAAAAAAAAAGAAGAAATACAGATTAATGCTTGCCTAACATTAAAAAACCAGGATCTTTGGTTATATGGTAGAGCTATAGAAGTAAAATGGAAGCACTAAGAGTGTGAACCTAGATGTGAATAAATATATCTTAATGGAATTTTTATACTGAAATGAAATTATGTATTTAAATAACAAAGTTGTGTCTATAGTGAGCACTTGAAATAATTTAATTGGGTAGTGAAACCCACTCTTTAGTATTGGAGAAAGCTATATGATTTAAGCAAATAAGTGTGATTGGGATATTATCCAAGTGAAAATAGAAAAATATATTATCAGAACAAGGTGTATGGGTGAAGTTGGGCATGGTACTGCACATATGTGATCCCAGCACTCTGGGAGGCTGAGACAGGAGGAATGCTGCAAGCTCAAGGCCAGCCTGAACTACAGAGCAAGACCCTGCTTCAAAAAAACCCAAAAGTTAAAAAAAAAAAAAAAGACTGGGTGTAACTCAGTGTAAAGACTCTGGGCTCAATCCCTAGAACCGAATAATAACAAAAAGACTACAGGGGTATAGCTGAGTGATAGAGCACTTGTTCATTGTGTGCTAGGCCCTGCGTTCAATCCCAGCACAATAGCAGCAACAAAGTTAAGTATACATAGCATACTGAAGTGCTTTGTAAGTCAGGGAAGGAGATGTGAAAAGTGGGAGGTTTATCTACTTCTGGTCACACCCTGAAGCTGAAGAAGCTCAAGAAGGCTATATGAACCAGTGGAATGAATGGAAGCGCTTCTTTGTCCTGCAGAGCAGTAAAAATACACCATCCCAACATGCATAACTAAGTGTGGATTCAGTCCATTCAGGCACTATGACAAAATAATAGAAAGTGGTATCAGATAAAAAAAATTGCTCACAGTTCTGGAGCCTGGGAAGACTTAGATCAAGGCACCAGATTTAGTGTCTGGTGACAGATACAGAAATAGTTTTAGGATAAATAATTAAAACTGCACTATGATGAATAATTTTTAATAGCATCCTTCTCAAGAGATTATTTCTATTTGCTATTGTGGCCAAGAAAAGCCCTGGAAATACTCTGAATGTGCTTACATGAGTTTATATATATACAGATTCATCAATCTGTATATCTATGATTAACACACTTGATATGTGTTATTTTTCTTAGGTATAAAAATTCTTCATATTTAAAAAAATTTGATTGTTCATATGCAGTTCATTTTCATCTTGAGTTAAAGTTAATTTTCATAAGTACCATTTACTTTTCTTGGTATTTATAAATTTAAATTCATAAATTACAAAAAAGAATGACTTGCCATAACAACATAGGTCTACTAGTGGTGAGTGTTGAGAAATACATTCTAGGGGAGTTTGCAGCTCAAGGAGTCTTGTGAAGGGTGTATGTTTCTGGAAAGTTTACTTATACATAACTGACATCCATGCAGCTCACTCATTTAAAGTATATAATTCAAAACTGGGCATGATGGCATAGGTCTATAGTACCAGCTGTTCACGTGGCTGAGATGGGAGTGTCACTTGTATATACAAGTTTGAGACCAGGTGGCCAACATAGTAAAACCCCATCTGAAATTTTTAAAAAGTGTGTAATTCCATGGTTTTTGTATATTTACAGATATTTGTAATTAGCATATGTTTTAGAACATTTTCACCTTCATAAAAAAGAAATCCTGAAAGCTGGGAATAGTGGCACATGCCTATAACCCCAGCACTCTGGGAGGCTAAACCAGAAGCTTCACAAGTCCCAGCTTAAGCCAGGCACCTTAGTGATTTAGCAAGATCCTATCTCAAAATAAAATATTTAAAAAAGAGAATCTCCAGTACCACACACACAAAATACCCTTATACCTTTTACCTATTATCCCTATCCTTCTATTTGGACCGTACCCCCCAGTCCTAAACAACCACCATTCTTTGTGTCTTAATGGGTTTAACTATCACGACATTGCATACCAATGTGGTCTCATATGACTCTCCTCTTTCACTTGCATGATGCTTCATCCATGTTGTAGCATGTATTAGTTTTTCTTCTTATGGCCAAGTAGTGTTCTAGTTATAAGTATATACTCCATTGTATTTAACTGGCATCAACTGATGCACACTAAGGCTGTTCTTACCTTTTGACTGTTATTATTAATGCTGCTCTATGTACCTGTCTCCTGTGCATGTCTTATGAACAGATGTTCTCCATTCTATTGAGTACATACAAGGAGTGGAATTCCTGAACTATATGGTAATTGTACATTTAACTGTTTTGAAAAGTGACTGAACTATTTTACATTCACACCAGCTGTGAAGTCTTGTGTTTCTTTTTTTTTCTTTTTTTTTTTTCCTCATTGAGTGTATTGGTACATTTTAGGTATACAGTACAGTTACAGTCATTCTTGGGATCTTGTACCTTTACATGACAGGCCTTGGTTCTCATTTTTTCCCCTTGTCCCTGCCCTCCCTTCACCCCCTCCTCCCAAGTCTTGTGTTTCTTAAAGTAAATGAATTACATCTTTTTTTTGTTTGTTTTTGGTACTGGGGATCAAACTTGGGTCCTTGCACTTGCGAGGCAGGCAGCGGAACCACTGAGCTAAATCCTCGGCCCTTACATCTTAATATATTTCTGATAGCTCTGATTTTTTTTTTTCCCTGGTGCTAGGGCTGAAACCCAGGTCCTCACTCATGTTAGGTGTATTTTAACATTGAGCTACAACACCAGCCCTAATAACTAAATAATTATAAGTGGTTTTTCTCTTCAAAAAAACACACACACACACGCACACACACACACACACACACACACGCACACATGCTCTCACTTTACTCTTATTTAGGGAACATGAAGTTTTGTCTGCAAAACTCAGTGTAAGTTGGATTTGTACTCTTTTTAAGTTAAAGTTAATTCATTCCAAGTACCTATCTGCCTGAGAAAATATTTATGCATTTTTCTTTTGAGACAGGGTCTTAACTCTATTTTAGCCTGGTCTTGAACTCACTTTGTAGCCCAGGCTATCCTTCAACTTGCAACAATCCTCCTGCCTCAGCCTCTTGATTGCTGGGATTACAGGTGTGTGCACCAACACTCCCAGCTTTATATGGAAACTGTTTAATCTCATTTATTATTTGGGCTCTTCCCATTTCTTACACACATAGTCACAGTTGGATCTAGTAAGAATTGTCTTCCTGAAGTAGTAACAGGAAACTAGGGAGAGCAGAGTCCTTTGTTCCTCCTTCCTGACCACTATCATTAGACCCTTCCTCTGCTCCTAGTCTTTGGATCCTGTCATCTGATTAAATACTGCTGTTCCAGAAAATTCAGAGGTACCTTTTATAGTAGTCTCTTAATTGACCACCCACAGACTGTGCTTTTTTTTTTTTTTTTTTTTTTTTTTGTATTGGGAATTGAACCCAGGGCCTTTGCACTGAGACACTGAGGTAAATCCCCAGCCTTTTTTATTTTTAGACAGACAGTGTGTCACTAAGTTTCCCAGGTGGGGCTTGAACTTGTAGTCCTCCTGTCTCTGCCTTCTAGAATTCTGAGATTACAGGTGTGTAGCACCACACCTGGCCAGATTCTGCATCTTAAGACTTTCTTGTATTCTATGCCCTGTATTTAAGTGAGTCCATTTCATACTTTAGCTGTGCTCTAGAGGAAGCTTAAACTCTCCTCTCTGACCACTGCTTTAGCTTTAAAGTATTTTTCTACCCTTTTTCTCAGGGATTTCCCAGCTTAACCTTCTAGTCTGAGTGAAACACAAGCCTTTTCCTTCTTAAAGTATAACAGTTGGGTTATAAGGCCAGTTAGATCTTTAGAAATGACAATATATATACATTTTCTCCCTACTTGCTGAAGCAGGAGCAAAGAAAGGATATGATAATTAGGTATTTTTTCCTTTCCTTTTAAAGATAATTTTAATATTAAATGTAGCCCACCAGCAAATACTTATTTTATATTAATTTAATATCCTGTGCTTGCACCATTTTAAACATTGTGAATACACAGGGCAGATCTCTACATGCGCGCGCGCGCGCGCACACACGCACACATACATACACACACCCATTTTTTAAAAAAGCAATTTACATTATAGTGAGGGAGATAAACATAAGTAGTGGAAATACAAAGTAATGAGTTTCAGCCAAGTGCTAGGAATACAATAAAATGAGGTCACCTGCTGGTAGAGACTGGGGACTGCCATATTTGGGACAGTTAGGGTAGACACCCTGAGGAGTTGTTTAAGATGCAAGCTGGATGCTAAGGAACGTTTGCTGTGGGTGGTGAATAAAACCTTTACTCCACTTCACTTTCAGACCACTGACCACCTGAAAGGAGTGAAATGTGATGGTTTTATATCATTTGATAAATAAATGTTGGTATTTTAAGATACTATGATTGCTTGGTGAGGAAGTAAACTCATTAATTACTCAGATTGCTACCCTGAATTTCTTGTGGTTTACTTAGGTGTAAAAATAGACCTTGAAATTTCTGGTTAAAATTTGAAACTTAATTCAGTGGGCCACACAAGATGGATCTTCTAACTTAGTGGACACCAAACTGATGATTTCAGAAACAAGTGTCCCACTGGATTTGAACACAAGTGTATGTGTGCTTGGTGGCATAAGAAAAAGAAATAAAAAGTGAGAGATACACCTAATTTCAAGTATCTTTCTGTATTTATGCCTTTTGCAAAAGAGATTAATTCATTATATTAGTTTTTTTTGCCTTTTTAAAAATTAGTACATGTTTGTATTACATAATCATCTTGGTATTAGTTGAAGGAAAATGATAAAGAGAGCTGGGTTTGGTGGTGTATCCCCTGTAATCTCAGTATTTGGGAGGCTGAGGCAGGAAGACTGCCATGAGTTGAGGCCAGCTTGGGCGACATAGTGAGGTCAAAGCCAGCCTGAACTACATAGTAAGATCCTGTCTCAAAAAAACAAAACAAACAAAAAAGCCATGTTGGGGGGAGTATAGGGAAATTAATTTAAAGAAAGAAAGCTCTGGCCACTCCTGGTTAGGTTAGAGGTAGAAGTTCCTGGACTCTCAAAGTTTGGTTGGCTTGGACATACCTACTTTGTCTGGCGATTTACATAGACTGACACTGGTGTCTTCCGTCTGGCAGATGGCTCAATCACAAAGGAGTGAGACAGAAGCGTCTGAATGCATGGCTTGGAATCAAGAATGAGGATGCTGATGAGTAAGTTCTCTCTGAGCCTCTGGGTCAGAAGACTTTGTTACCAGTGTGAGACATGGACTCTGCCTGCTAAGAGTTGGTCCTCACTGTCACTTGATATTGAATCGAGTACTTTGCAACTCTTTTGAATTGAATTGCTTTATAGGCATTTGAATTTGGAAATTTTCCAGCCATATGAAGCGATGCATAAGCACTCCTATTCAGACGTTCATGCTTCAGCTTATTGGTTGAAGCATGTGAGTTCTGTGCTTTGTGTACTCCTGCGTATAATGAGGTTGTTTAAAAAACACTAACTACAATTTTATTTTTTTGGTATGGGGGATCAAACTCCGGACCTTGTGCTTGTGAGCTGGGTGGCGGCACTACTGATCATCACTAAGTGCAATTTTGACTTATTATTTTATGGTTAAAGATTAGATCATTTTATTCATGAATTTGCTTTTAGGTATAAAAGTATTTCATTCATGAATTTGCCTTTAGATATAAATTGTTATTAAAAATATTTTTAATATTTAATTTTTAGGGCCTATTTTATCAGTGAAGAAGATGAAAACCTGCCACATTATGATGAGAAAACCTGGTTTGTTGAGGATATCAATCGAGTACAAGCAGAGGACTTGCTTTATGGGAAACCTGATGGTGCATTCTTAATTCGTGAGAGTAGCAAGAAAGGATGCTATGCCTGTTCTGTGGTGTAAGTTTTGTGGGAAAAATGTTTTAGGAAAAATGATATCTAAAATTATCTTGGGGATTTAAATTTACATGGTAAACAAATTAGACCCTGTCATTGTTGATGTTAGATTTCAGATATCTGTGGACCTTGAACTGGAAAAAAAAAATTCACTTATTTCTTTCCTGCATGCCTAACTTGGTTTCCATTGTCAGACTAGGGAAGGCTTGATTGAATAGAACTATTTTTACTTCAGAAAAGAAACTATTTATATTTTAAAATGGAATACTAATCTGTTGAGGTGGTAATAGAAAATATGGGTGTATTTTCCTTAAGATAATTTTATGACTTTTTGGTTTTCAAAGCTTGTTTTTCTTTTAATAGAAAGTAGCTGGTTGTGGTAGCACATGTGGGTAATCCCTGCACTTGGGAGGCTGGAACAGGAGGATCATGAGTTTGAGGCTAGTCTGGGGTACACAGTGAGACTTTGTCTTTTTCTTTCTTTTTTTTAACGAAAGTGAAATACTGCAATAACCATTAACCATACCTTACTTAGTCAGATTTCACTTGAGTGTGGTGCATCAGGCTTTTAAAAAATTTCATGAAATATCCAAGATAAATAGAATCTTTGTGAAATAGATAGGTATCATTAGTAGGCTTGCACATGCAGAACCATTAATTCTCATGGTGGGGAAGAGGATTGGGAGGTTTCAGAGAAGAGGCATTAGAACTGGACCTTCAAAGGATAAATGGTTATCTATGGGCAGAAAGTGGGGAGAAGTTGAAAAATGAATTGGATTGCTGTCATCTCAAGATGGAACTGTTTGTAACATTTCTTAATGACAGGAGAGAGTAATTTTGTAAAATTTGGGCTCTTTTAAGAATAATAATAAAAAAAAGGAAAGCAGTAAGCTTAGTCCCTTACTCTTACCAGGTCATCGGCAGCAGCATGTAGGTTAGAGACTTGGCTTGTGGAAGGTGCTGTCCAGCAGCTTTGCTAATCGCTGAGAAACAAAGCAACAGCTGGAAACTCTTGGACGACTGTCTTTGTGTTCCCTTTCCCATAGCAGAGAGTCTTGTCTGTAGCAGTTCATATTTCCCTTGCCTGTGAAACTGTTCCCACTTAATATTGGGGTTCATATTGAAGTGGTTGGAGGCAGAGAGGCTGGCATTGCGAAGATTTCCTCCTGTTTGCTGTCCTGCAGTGACCTCCCAGTATACTTTGGACATTTTCTGAAGTAGGGACCTGAATAAGTTTGTTTTTTCAGAAGACTCTCATACAAAATTAAAATGACCATACTGAGGTCTGATAAAAATACAGTGAATGTTTAAAATTTAAAATATTACAGTAAAAGACGTATTACCATTATTCCCCTCCCCACTCTCCCCAACTTAGTTTTTTTTTTTTCTCCTAACTTTGAACACACTTATCCCATCATTCTTGAAACTTTCTGAAGCAGTTTTGGAAGTCCTTTTTATGAGTGTCTTTAGTTGTTCTGTTGTGGCTGCCGTGATGTCCTCCATCAATTCAAAGCTTGAGCCTTTCATGATCATTTTGACTTCAGGGAAGATCCGGAAGTGGCCTGGTGCCAGCTCCAGTGAATAAGGTGGATAAAGATACACCATAATGTTTTTATTTGACAGAGATTGCTGTGCCACAGCTATGTTTGATAAGGAGTGTTGTCTTCATGGAGGATGAAACTGTCCTTTTCTCAGTCCGTTTTCTATTTACATCATTTCTTATACTATTCAGAGTTTAATGTTTGTGGGTAAAAACTCAGCTTGCACAATTCTATAAAGGTAAATGGATGCTTTTTTTTTTTTGGCATGAGGAGAAAGGGTAGTTTCTAGTAAGAACTCTGAAGCATGGTCTTAGGACCATAATCATTGACCCAAGTTTTATCTCCCATGATGACATTTCTCAAAAATCTGGAATCTGAAGCAGCATGATTGAAAACTCCACTGAAAGGCGTTGATTGTGATCCAAGATTTATAGCACATTCCAAAACACGTCTTCTCCTCTCAGTCATAGCTCACGACCCACTGATACGCTGAACAAGTTGAAACTTGTCATGATCTGTTACTAAGGGTCAAATTTTTTTTTTTTTTTTTTTTTTTTTTTTTGTACCTGGATGAAACTCAGGACCTTCCACTTGCGAGGCAGGCAGGAGCACCACTGAACTAAATCCCTGGCCCAAATGCTGCTTATATTGAAGATCTCTGCCCTTTTGTTGAACAGCACATGGCAACAGAATTTACTGTATTTTTTTTAAAAAATCACACCTTGGGCTGGGGATTTAGCTCAGTGATTTGGTGGCCTGCCTTGCAAGCACAAGGACCCAAGTTCAATCTCCGGTACCAAAAGAAAATCACACCTCATAGTAAGACATTACAATGCAATTCACTTGCTTTTCCATTTTAATTTCTGTTCATAACATCATAAAAAGAAGCATAAGAAGTTACTGAATTCTAGGGCCTTCTCAGGCTAAAGTCCTGCAGCCAGCAGTACATATATTGGAGAGTCAGGTAGTGAGAACTTGTAATTCTGTTCTTTTTACCATTTGAAAAATAAGAAATTTAGCCAGGCATGGTGACTAGGGCTGTATAATTCTGTATGAAGGCCCTGAGTTCAATTTCTGTACCTAAAAAATAAATAAGAAATTTGTAATACTTTTAACAAAAACAAAAAGGCCATGCTTCATCTTAGCAACACATGACAGAATATAATCCTATTATAAATGGGTTCTTTAACTTAGCACAATGCTTCCAAGGTTCATTGATGTTGGATGGAAGAATAGTTCATTCTTTTTATTGCTAAATAATACTTTGTTGTATACATATGTCATATTTTTTATTCATCAATTTTGAGTGAGTAACCAGTAGTATTTACCAAAGAAAGCCCTATGAGCTTGGTTAGTGTCACACACACCTGTAATCTCAGTACTCTGGAAGGCTGAGGCAGGAAGATCACAAATTTGAGCCCAGCCTGGCAACTTAGTGAAACCGTGCCTCAAAAATAAAAAGGGATGGGCATATAGCTCAGTGTGAAGGATCTGGGTTCTGGCCCCTGTACTGGGGGAAAAAAACTCAAAAAACAGAGAGTAAGAGAGAAAAGAGAAAAAGAGAAAACAAGACATTTGATTAGGGGTAGAATAACTACACAGATAATCAACAAGGAAATAGAAACTTGAATACACTCTACCCAATAACAGTGGAGTATACTTTCAAGTACATGTAAAACATTATCCATGATTGACTATAGATTAGGCCATAATAAAAGTCTCACTAAACTTAAAAGTATTGAAACCGTACAAACGATGTCTCCTATTCAGCCGCCATTTGTTTGTTTGTTTGTTTGTTTGTTTTTAGTACCAGGGATGGAACTCAGGACCTTGTACTTGTGAGGCAGATGTGGGCACCACTGAGCTAAATCCCCCCAGCCCTGCCACCTTACATTTGATAAAGGAACCAAACACCTTCACTGGAAGAAAGATAGCCTCTTTAATAAATGGTGCTGGAAAGGCCAGGTATTGAGATCAGTGGTGCCCACATCTGCCTTGCAAGCACAAGGTCCTGAGTTCAGTACTTAGTAGCCCCCCAAAAAATGGTGCTGGGAAAACTGGCTTTCCACATGCCTAAGATTAAAATTAGACTCTTATGTTTCCCCATTCACTAAATCAAAATTGAAATGGATCGAAGATCTAACTATTCAAACAGAAACACTTAATCTACTGGAAGATAGAACAGAAGTGGAACTCTTGAAGACATTAGTACAGGTACGACTTTATGAATAAAACTCTGATCACAATCACACAGGAAATATCACAAAGAATCAACAACTGGGATTGATCTTACTAAAAAGCTTTTGCACAGCAAAAGAAATCACCACAGAGTGAAGAGACAATTCACAGTGTAGGAAAAAATTTTGCCAGTAGTTCCTCAGACAAAAAACTATTATCTAGAATATATAAAGAAATAAAAAAAATTCAGGCCCCCCCTCAAATTTAAAGAACCAATCTAAAAACGGGCATCTGAAATGAATAGACACTTCTCAGATGAAATAGAAGGAGCAAATAAATATATGAAACAATGTTCAGCATGACTGATCATTTCTGAAAAGCAAATTAAAACAACACTGAGATCCCATCTCACTGTAGAAAGAATGGCTGTTATTAGGAAGTCAACTAATGTTGGAGGGACTATGGGAAAAAGGAACCTTTCTCCACTGTCAGTGGAGTGTAGACTGGTGCAACCACTGTGGAAATCAGTGTGAAGATTCCTCAAAAAACTAAAACTGGAGGTTATATTTGACCCAGCTAGTCCCTTCTTTGTATCTTCCCAAAAGAATTAAAAGCATCTTACCACAGCAATATGTGCACACCCATGTTTATAGCAGCACAGTTTGTAATAGCTAAATCTTGGAAACAGCCCAGATACTCATCAACTGACAAATGGATAAAGAAGATGTGGTTTTTTTATACAGTGGAGTACTACTCAGCCATAAAGACAGATAAACTTGAGACATTTATAGCTAAATGCATGCACCTTGAGATCATACTCTTTAAGTGAAATAAATCAGACATACAAGTGTAAAAACTATTGTTTCTCTGGTGTGAGAAACTGAAAATGGAAATGAGGACTAAAATGTTTAATAGATACTGTGAAATAGGAAGAAAATGTTCAAATGAGAAGAGCAAAAAAGGAGGAAGAGGGGGAGAGGAAAGAAGGGATGAGAAGAAAAATGAAAATACAACAAAAAAATGGAAACAAAGCTTTTGTAAATAAAGAGGGGAAGAAGGGTTGAGGGGGGATGGGAAAAAAGAAACAAGATATATCATGTATAGGTACAAATCCCTGTGATGAATCTTACCAGTATGTATATCTGAAATACACCAATAAATGTTTTGCTTAAAAACAAAAAACAAATGATATCTCTTACCACAATGGAATTAAATTAAAAATAAAATCAGAAATTTGAGAAATTAACACATACATGGACAGTAAATAGCCCAGTAAAGTAACCCAATGGGTCAAAAAGAGAAAAATTAGAAAATACATTCAGATGAGTGAAAATGGTAATATCACATAGAAAACTTGTGGGATACAGTTAAAGCAGTGCTAAGAGGCACATTGGTAGCTTACAAAGTATGATCTCAATTTAACAACCTAATCTACTTCTACTTTAAGAAACTAGAAAAAAGCCAGGCATGGTGGCACATGCCTGTAATCCCAGCACTCCGGAGGCTGAGGCAGGAGGATCACTGTGAGTTTGAGACCAATCTGGGCTACATAGTGAGTTCCAGTTCAGTCTCAACTACATAGTGAGACCCTGTCTCAAAAACCAAAAAAACAAAAAAAAGAAAAGAAACTAGAAAAAGAGCAAACTAAACTCAACCAAGAAGAAAGGGAATAATAAAGATTAGAACTGGAGTAAATTAAAAGAGAATGGAAAAGAAAAAAATTGGTGAAACTGAAAAGTTGGTTCTATGACAGAAGCAAAGAAGTGAAAAGTAAAAGAGTAGACAAATTACTCAAATCAAGATGTATGAAGGGCCAGCACTCCAGAGGCTGAGGCAGGAGGATCACTATGAGTTCAAGGCCGGCCTGGGCTACACAGCAAGACTTGTCTTAAAAAAAAAAAAAAAAAAAAGGAATAAAAGGGCTTCTTTTTTAAAAAAAAATTATTTTTATTAAAAAAACTATTTTTTTTTCTACTGGGGATCGAACCCCAACCCTTTTATTTTTCTTTTTAAAGCAGTACTGGGGATTGAGCCTTGGGCTTTTGCACTGAATTACATACCAAGCAAGCCTTTTAAAATTTTTCTGCTTTTGACATATGATTTTACTAAGTTGCCAGGTTACTCGTGATCGGCTCAAACTTTCCATCCTTCTGACTCAGACTCCCAGAATGCTGGGATTACAGCAGGTACCAAAAGGGGACATTTTTATAGAAATAATATAATAAAAGGAATACTATAAACACTTTAAATGTCAACAGTTTAAACAACCTATATTTATTGTTGGATAAACTTCTGGAAACACTCAAACTACCAAAACTGATTCCAGAAGAATTAGAAAATCTAAATAGAAGTATAAGAAGAAATTGAATTATTTTTTAAAAAACTACTCAAAAGGAAAAGCCCAGGGCCTAGTGGCTTTACTGGTGAATTTTTACCATATATTTAAAAGAAGAATCACAGCAATCTTTAGATGCTTCTAAAAAAATAGAAAAGGAGAGAATACTTTCTACAGATATTACTTGTGTAAGGACCTACTTGTTTAACAACTGTTGCACCTAAGACCAAGATGTGCTGTTTGGGTTTATAACCCGCCACTTGGACTATGACCCATGCTTTTTTTTGTACCATTCTATACTTCTTGTTTATAGAGCCTCAGTGTCTTTTTTATACAGTATACCTTGTTTATACAGTACTGTAATTTTTGCTGATTATATTGTACAGTGTAGTATACTGTAGCTTTTTGTTGGTATACATTACAGTATTGCAGATCAGAGTTTTGCAAATAAAAGCAAAGTCATCAAGTTGGAGTTTCCTTTGACCATTTCTTTGTTCTGAGTATCGTAATGTACATACTATATACAGTTCCTCATTTAGTGGCCAATTTATTTAGCTACCTGGTTGTAGGAACCTAGCTCAGTCATTAAACAAGGAATGTCTGTATCAAATTCAAGCCCATGGTTTTTGACTACTAAGCTAACATAAACTCCCAGCACGTAGTTCTATACTCAGGCAACCTAGTTGCAGGAACAGAACTCAGTCATTAATGAGGAGAGTCTATAATTCATTATATGAAAGCAGTATTACCTTGATACCAAAAAGAGACACAGACATCCAAAGAAAAGTAAGTTATAGAGCTTATCTGCAACACTCATCAGGGATTATGGCTTTCCAGAATGTTAAAAAATCACAAGCAGAATACAAGTAAGGGAGTTCTAGAAGCATATAATAAGGATGAGATACCATGACTAAATTGGATTCTTCCTGAGAGTGCAAGTGTAGTTCAGCACAAAGAAAGTAATTAATATAATCATTAGTAAAGAACAAAATTACATGATAACCTCAATAGATATGGGAAAAGCTTTTGCAAAATCCAGTACTCTTTCGTATTAAAAAGGGAGGGGCTGGGATTTAGCTCAGTGGTGCCCCTGCCTGCCTCACAAGTGCAAGGACCTGAGTTTGATCGCCCACTACAAAAAACGAAACTGAAGCCAGAAATAGGAGGAAATTTTCACTACCTGATAAAGGGTATCAATGAAAAACCCACAGCTAATGTCATAATGATGAAAAATTGATTGTACTCCCCTAAGATGAGGAAGACCAGGATGTCCATTCTTAGCACTGCACTCTTCTTCATTATAGGAAAAGAAAAGATATCCAGATTGGAAAGGAAGTAAACTGTTAGAAGTGAATTCATAAAGGTTGCGGGTTACATAATACAAAAGTGCATTTCTGTTTACTACCACGAACAGTACAAGAATGAAATGACATGCCATTTATAATCGCATCAAAATGATAACTGGGAATAAAAACAAAAAAGAATGGTGCAGTGAAAGCTACAAAACAAAATTGAAAGAAGTTAAGATAATCAGTGAAAAGACATATGGAGTATTAAGAATACTTAAGATAGCAATACTTCCCAAGTTGATGTACACATTCAGGACAATCCTATCAAAATCCTAGCTGGTTATTTGCAGATGATATGATGTTCCTGAAATTCATATCAAAAGACGGAGGACCCAGAACAGTCTTGAAAATGTAGAAACACGTTGTAGTACTCACACTTCTTGATTTCAATACGGAGATACAGTAAGACAGTAAGGTACTAACATAAGAATAGAAAATACAGGTCACTGAGTAGGATTGAGAGTTGAGAAAGGAGTGCCTTAGATTTACGGGATTTTTTTGCTTGTTTTGTTTTGGTACTGGGGATAGTACTCGGGACCTTGCACTTGTGAGACATGTGGCAGAACCACTGAGCTAAAGCCCTGGCCTATGGGGTTTTTATGTGTCTGTGGGCAGGTGTATAAGAAGGTGAGGGGTTTTGGTTTGAATTTCACAACATCAATATATTTCCATACTTTGAGGTTACTATTCTTCAACTGGATCTTGAGACTGTTTCCAGGAATTCAATGAGCATTCTGTTTGCAATGAATAGTCAGTAGCAACAGCATCTCTAAATCTCTGAGGCTTTTTGGTCCCAGTGAAAAATTAGCCTAATTGTAGCAGCATGACTCCAACTCTCCCCTAAAGCAGGAACCAGCAAAGCTTAACTTTTATTGTTATTTGGTTTGTTAAAAGTACAGCTAATGTGTGATGATTTGCAAGGCTGATCATTTACTGTGCTGGGCCATTTAATATCAAGTACGAAGGGATAGGTCATCAAGGTCATGATGAAAAGGAAAAGCAAGACCATCTACTATTACTCGTCAAACTTTTTAGTTATCTGAAAGGAAACCAGGAAGGAGATAAACTTGTGCCAGTAGCTGTGAGTAATCATGACAATGAAAATAAATGTGGGAAAGAATATATTCAAGAGCAAAATCCTCCAAAGCTTTTTGATGTTCCTCTTCCATGTGTGTTCCTGCTATAAGCTGAAGGTGTTGAATGCAGGTAGTAGCGAGGTCTGCCATTCTGTAATAATGAAAGTGGCTTCACCTGCCATTCCGCCACAACATTCTGTTATCTGTACATCTATTGCCAAATGCATACATAATTGTGTTTTGCCAACACCTGATGCACCAGAAATTTCTGTTTTCATTAAGAGTATGCCATACCCAAGAATATTATCTAGTGCTGAACTGACAATAATTATGAAGCCTTGGTATGCTCCTGCTCAAGAGTGTCCAGAGATGTACACTTCCTGCATGAATTATCAGATGTATTATCATTTCTTGGTTTATTTGTGAGACATTCTCTTCTTATAGTTTGCAGAGTTTCTAAGGCTTCTTCTTTTGTGATCCTAACTTCTTTGCTGAGTTTGGAGGGTTTTCATTCTAGGAGTTCCTCAGCATTCTGGAAACCTGTAGACACCAGCTTCACCTACACCGCTGGAGACAGCAAGAAACTAAGTCCTGCTGCATTTTGAACCCCATTCCTTTGTTCTGGGAATATAATTTTCTAAGCTTTGTTTGGCAAAACATTCCTGAGTCTCCTTTGTATAACAGTTGTCAGATTTTTTATTGTCCCTTTATCTATTGTTATATCCTTAACATGTTTCTTGTGTTGTATCATTGCAGTGCCGATGGGGAAGTGAAGCACTGTGTGATCTACAGCACTGCTCGGGGATATGGCTTCGCAGAACCCTACAACCTGTACAGCTCGCTAAAGGAGCTAGTGCTTCATTACCAGCAGACATCCCTAGTTCAGCACAACGACTCCCTCAACGTCAGGCTTGCTTACCCTGTCCATGCACAGATGCCCTCACTGTGCAGATAAAGAGAGCGCTCTTGCATTTTCCTACAGTTTTTATTAAGACTATGATGAGGGCATTCTTTCTACGTGGACTGCTTGTTTTGCACAAGAAGTGATTTCTGTGAATGTGAAGTGGAGAGGCCAAGCAGTAGCCAGCCAGGATGGGGAAACAAGGGGCCTGGAGTCTCTGGGACTCAGTGGTGCTACTGCACTGAAATACTAAGCCGGAAACAGATGCTGTTTTTTGGAAAGTCTGTTTCATTGGAGGTTTTGTTTCTGTTTAGCCAGGTACTCTCACCAGAACGTACTGGGTTTGGGGGTAGAGAGTAGGATTCAGAAGCCTCTGAAGAGACAAGTTCTCTTTTGGTCTTCAACTCTGTTGGGAGTTCTGTTTTACTCTGGTAGTCTCTTATCCCAAACAAGGTTGTCTGTGATAGAATGTTATTTGGTTTTTTTTTTTTAAAAGACAACCAAAGGGAAATAGGGAGACTTGGGATTTCATTTTTAAAAAAATGTAAGCCAACGGGGTTTAAAAAAAACAACAAAAAACCTTCAACTGAAGGTCCTTTATTTCTTACAAACATAATTAGCAATTTAGGCTTTACCATCTCCCTCCTCTAAAGAAACATATTGTTCAGAAACCAACAAAGCAATGTTTGTTGCCAGACCTAGCTCTAAACAGAGAAGGTGTCACTAGAAGTTGAATGCAGGCTTCTGTACCAAAACTTGAAAATAAGAACTAGAAATGTGAGTTTTAGCAAACACTAACATCCGTCAATGCATTTTCTTCTGTTCCATCCTTGTATCTCTAAGATGAGGAATCGCATTCTTTTTGTGGGGATAGTAAGCTTTGAATCATAAAATGAAGTTGGTGCTCGTGTGATGTTCCCTTAGCTTAAAGAATGATCTGTTGTTTGAAACCTTCGTAACTTGTTTGTATGAGTAAAGAAGTGCAATCCAGTGCTTTTAGATGGCTTGATATACCAAATATAGAACAACATTCTTCTGTGTGCTTTTCTATGTTTAAAGGCCCTGCAAGAACAATATGACTAAAGTTAAATGGTTTAATTTCATCTCCCACACTTTTCTGGGTAGCATTTGGGATTCAAAGGTGGCTAAGGAAAGGGAATCACATTGTATCAAAGACCTCAGTAAATCACAGACCCAGGGCTGTGGTGTCCAGGATCTGGGCATAACATGTTACACATATTCTTTCACACAATTGTTTCTGAAACTTTTGCAGGGAGGAGAGAAGGTGGCTTTGAGTTTAGACTGTTAGAAGCCATCTGGAAGCTTTTGTCTTTGTCTTTTTGTTATCTTGCCATTAAGGCAGTGTGCAGTCTGCCCTCATGCTCCAGTGGTTGTGATTTTAGGCCAGGAATCTTCTGCTCCATGTGGTTTCAACATTTCAGCTGAGTGAAGCTAGGCGAACACAGTGGAGGTCAGGCATCAACTCCTGACTCCATTATGCCCCATACTCATCAGTCAACACTTACTTGACAGAGTCCAGCTGCCCCTGAGCCAGTCCTGGAACCATAAAGGGCTTAGTGTGAGTCAGCTGTTTGAGCCAGGGCTGTGCAGTCCGCCCCAGTACCCAGGTCTTGGTTTATAAGGCTTATAGCTAAGAAAGCTCTAGTTTTGGGGCTGAAAAATATTACTTTACCTGAGCACTTAACTGGGTAACGGTGTCTAGAGTGGACCATGACAGATTAAAAGATTTGGAAATTTTTCCAGTTTCTAACAATGAGAATAGGAAAGAAAGGGTGTAACTTTGGCTTTTCCTTTCTTACATTGCAGTTTCAGGGCTGGAAAAGATCAAGACAAATGAACCCACTCCAATATTACTGTTCTGACTTAAGCCTTTAACTGACAGCCAGCAAGCACATCCTTTCCCTAAACTGCCAGATTGAAATCTTGCCAAAATTTTTACTGAGAAATGCCAGGCTAAATTGCTGCTGGCCATACCTCTGTGATTTTGCACCTGATGTTGAACCTGCTTAATAAGCAGTTATTGGTCAAGATTGGGTGAAAGGAATCCCTCCTATACAGTTCTAGTGTGTTCTGAATGTCTTAACCCCAAATGGAATGGGATACATCCCTATAGTGTTGACAAATATGTACATCTGTATCTTGTTGGACAGACATGGAGGGTGTGCAGGGAGAACAAGCACAACCTGAGTATCTATACTTGGTCTGGCTTATGGAGAAGAGCGGCTGCTTGTCAGTTGTACATTCCTTTTTATCCCTTTTTCATTCTTGAATTTATTGCTTTGTAGGATCTAAGACCCAAGATGATTTGAGAAGTTGGAATGTATCCCTTCTAACCAGTTATAACATGATTTGTTTGATCCTGAGCCAGTGGCAATGGCATAGGGGCCAGTATACCAATAGCTGGGGTCCCAGTTATGTTGGGAGGCAAGATTCCGCTCTTTTTATCCTACAGCATGGGAGCAAGTCTTGGCCTTCTTGTGAGTCTTAAGTCTACATTCTGTCCCATGATCTCTGGGCCCTGGGAATCTGTGTGTCACTGTGACAGAGGTAAAGAGACAGATCAAACCCAGAGGGGCTCATTCTCCTGGCTATATAAGCCAGCCACCAACCTGCAAGCAGCATGGGGTTGGCTAGACAAAAGTCCTAGGCCCTTCTTTTCCAAGTGTAGCTTTCGTCACAGAACAGTGCTGTCTCTTCTTGGCAATAGATGCCAAAAATTGGCCATGGTTAATGCCTAGGTAGGTTGCCTGTGACCTTATCACCCAGCCAAGGATGACGATTTCTAAACATTTCTGCTCCCTCTTCAAGGCTTTATGGGATCTCCCCTTTACTTTAGACCTCAGATACTCTGAAGAAGCTTTGAGAGCCAGTTTGGTGTCTTCCGTGGGTTTCTTCTTGCTGTAAGGAACCAACCCCATGCATTTTGTTGAGCCAGGAATTGCATCTTGGAAATTCCTGGTTTCTAAGTTGATCTGTGCCGCTAGTTAAGACTCCAGAGTAGGCCTTAGAAATCAGAGGGTCCAAATGGGGACCTGCCTGGGCCACCTGCTGCCAACTGCTCACCTTGCTTTAGCTCCAGCCACTTGTGACAGACAGCATTGTTTCCTTACAAATTCCAGCATGTGACATTGGTGCCCTGTTGTTGTGAAAAACCTGTTCTGTTGTCTTTGATGTAGTCCAAGAAAATTCATGTAGTTTACATAAAAATATGATTCACAAGGAAGCCAACTGTGTGTCTTGTGTTGGGACAATTCATAATGTAGTTCCTAGACCACTTTTGCAAATTGTTTGTGTCACGGGGCATATTCAGACATTGCTGTGCAGTTGTAGGGGAGGGTGGGGGAAGGTTAAGTGGTGATAACCATACCGTTTAGGCATTTTGTTTTTTACCTTCCCCAAGAGGGGATAGTCTGGCCAACTTGCTCCAGTAATGCAATAAAGACATTGTAATAAAACACTTTTTGTCTTCATGCTATGGAGGGGTAGGCTGGGAGCAGGTTTGGGGAGGGGACAAGCTAAGAAATCTAGGATATTGAAAATCATCAGAATTCCTAAATCTCCCTAGTAAGCACCAACAGACAAGTTCTGGGGCTGAACTTGGCCCGCCAGAGGTCACTAGCATGTTTTCTCCACCCAAAATAGGACATAGACTCAGACACTGATTGAGGAAATTAGCTGGGGATTTAGCTCAGAGATTTCACTGCCTGCCTCACAAGTGCAAAGACCTGAGTACAATCACTGGTACAAAAAAAAAAAAAAAAAAAAAAAAAAAAAAAAGCACTGATTGAGGAAATTAAATCTGAGAGCCATTTCTGGTTCCCTTCTCATTTCTTTATTGGTTCTCATTATGTAGCTTTGCTCAGAAATAACACATTCTACTTGGAGGTGGGGGCTCTTGTTGCCCCAGGCCTTGTTCACTTTCCTTCAAGGAATTTAGGTTCCTATGTGCAATCAGAACATAGAAGACCACCTCTTAGATAGGACATTGCAGTTCTCAGCCATGTTTTTCAGGCTTCACTTACATGTATACTCAATTATAAAAATCAGATTGAGCAGGGGGAATGGCCTGTTCTAAATTTTATTGCCTGTCTCTTTCCTCCCCAGTATGTTTTAGCTACACAGCACTTTTGAGACTACTGCTGTGAAGGCAGTTAGTGGTGCACCCCTGTCATACCAACACTCCAGAGGCTGAGGCAAGAGGATCACTGCATATTCAAGATCAGCCAGGGATGTATGGTGAATTTAAGGCCAGCCTGAACTATAAGCAAGACTGTCTCAAAACAAAAACAAAACAACAAAAAAAAGACTTGGTGTGAACTGTGGATGATTTCCCTCCATCCTGAGTTGTTCCCATTTAGGTTGCTTGGGACACTTAGATTCAAAAATCTCTTGCCCAGTTCTTTTGAACGCCACCTGCTGGCCAGCCAGCCAATGAGTGCCGGCACTTCAGGCTTGTTTGCTTCACAGAGAAAAATATACAGTTGACTGAATTCCTTCCCACCACAAAACCTACAAACTTGCCTATTACCACATAACTCCTCTCCTTTCCAACTGTTAAATTATGAAGGGGTCCTCATCTGACTAGTCAATCGCTCCATGTATATTTTGATGTTTTCTCCTGGTTCTCCCATTGTTTCATATTTGAGTGGAATCCTAATTTGTATAGATCAGAAAGTAACCATCCTTGGTAGGCCTGCTTATCTACATAAAACCCTTTACCAACCTATATTATCTTAAATATCAATCAGAACAACACCTAACTTCACTACCATGTCTAACCCTATACCAAAAGGCCTCCTTTCCATCTGTGCTCCCCTGAAGTCCATTCTCATCATAACAACCAGTCCTTTGCAAAACACAAATCTGAACCTGTACAAAACATTTAACAACTTTTGCTCCTAGAATAAATCACAATTTTTTTTTAAAGAGATAGGATCTTAGGCTGTTGCCTGCTGACCCCAAACTCTTGAGCTCAAGTAATCCTGCTTCAGCCTCCCAAGTAGCTGGTACTACAGGCATCTGCCACTGCACCCAGCTGAATTACAAAATTCTTAAAATGACCTGGCTTCTTCCTGATTCAGGATTTCCTATCATCTTTTCACCGTGTCCTCTCAGCTAATCTCAACTGTCTTGGGCCTCCTTCATTCTGCATACTCCCTGGGCAGTCTTTAACCTTATAATTATTCCTAGTGGCTCCATACCCTATTTTCCCTCTTTCCCTTAATTAGAGCTGTCTCTTCACTGCTGTTGTCCTAGTTTAGGCTATCAGACTGGGTCACTGACTACACCATTCTATCTCTGGCCTGTGTACTCCATTCTATCCTGTCCATACTTAAGCTAGTAATCTTCCTGGACCATAGATCTGATAGCTCTTTCCTCTAGTTTTCTTTCAGAAAAATCCTCACTTCCTCTGTGATAATCCAGCCATGTTTTTCAAGCAGAGCATCACCAGCACTTAAAGCAGGTTCTCCCCCCACCCATCTGCACAGCCGGGTGTTGGTTATCTAACCCCCCACCCCTCACCAGTGGTCCAGCATGCTCTGACCAGATCCCGTCATGGGCACTCTCTCCTTACCTATCCTTCAGGTGGTGACCTGAGGCCCATCTTCCCAATGTCCAGTGTGGATAATCCAGGGTCAGCTGAATAACAAAGTGAAATCTAGGGTACTGGAAGTTTTAAATGTCCCCACCCCCACTGTGGGCTCTGCCGTCACAGGAGAGCACATTCTCTGGCAGTCACTACCTTCTTTGTGAAGGACAATGAAGAACTCCAGGATGCAAGAGGCACCCAGCCAGTGGCCCAGGCTCCTGATGCCTCACCTTCAGACCTATGTGTTGGGCTGTGGGGCAGACACTACAACAACCAGTGTAAGATGGGTTTGCAAGTTGGGCCTCATCAGGAGACAATGTTCTTCTAGCCTGGGCACTTTCACCAAGCCGGCCTCCTTGCCTTGGTATAATGCTTTTGACTCTCCCCTATACCTTGGTCCCAGTATATTCTCCCTTTGGTTTTCCTCACCAAGTATAGCTCTACTTATTGAGAACTGCATATGACAATGTACACCTTCAGTGCTGGGGCATACCTGACAATAGCCCAGCCATGAATGAGTAACAAACAGTAAGGACTTATTACTAAATTGGCAATTTTCTATTTTGGGGGGGTACTGGGGATTGAACTCCTTGAGATTGCGAGGCAGGCGGCGGCACCACTGAGCTAAATCCCCAGCCCACAATTTTCTATTTTTATTTCACTTAACCTCTCAGCATTTTATCAATTTCTCTCCATTTTGAAACTTCTGTGTCTTGGATTTTATGATTCTCTTCTGGTGGCTGCTTCTGAATCTTTTTCTTGATCCTAAGTGTCAGCTGATACACTGATGATCCTTATCTCTGTCTAGTCTAGATTTCTCTTGCGTTTCAGACTCAGGCATCCAGTTCTTTCTGTTTACTGGCTAAAAGGCACTCCAAGTTAGGCAATAAATATGAATTCCAGAATCAAGATGGGTCAGCCAGGAATTTAGCTCAGTGGTTCTGCTGCCTGCCTCAAAAGTACAAGGACCAGTGTTTGAACCCTGGTACAAAAAAAAAAAAGAGATGGATCTAAGTTCTGATCCTAGTTTTGTACAAGCTGTTGCATCTCAAGCAGAAAAGCCTGAGCTTTCCGATCTGTAAAGTAGGAATATTAGTTGCTACATGACTGCCTTTGGTTCTCCATCACCCACACAAAGTCTAAATTCCTGAAGGACCATTGGAAGCAGCCCTTTCTTAACCTACAGATTCATTTCCACTTTGAATTATTTTTTGTTCCTTGAACCAGATATGCTGTACTTTGGACATTCTTTCCTAAGCCAACCTCTACTCTTTCACATCCAGCAGATTACCTATCACCTAAATCATGTTTGAGCTCGTAGTCTCTGACAAGTGACTCTGGATTAGGTGCCCTTCACCTGAGGGTGGAAACAGTCTCCACTATATTCCACTAGTCACCCATATGACAATTTAAGAAGCAAGCAAAAGACAAAGATGGTTTCCAGTATTGTGTATTACACAGGTCTAAGTGCAAGAAATGGCAACAACTGCTATGTTTGCTTTAATAACTCATCGGGTGTCAAGACAATGTCCTGACGCTTTTGATGGCTCCCTGGTTCTTGGCCTCTCCAGAGTAGTCTAGGTTCAGTCTCTTGAGTGAATGGGCAGCCCGTGTGTGGAACATTCTGCTTCCTGTCACCTGAGGCATCAGGCACTTTGGTGATGCTCAGGGAAGGGTCTTCTTTCTTTACTTGTATATGTTGAGACTTCTGCAGCTGGCTTTGGGTGAGAACCTCATGAGGTGGATGGGCCAGCCCAGGGGAAATGAGTGGCTTCACCTCCTCCCCAGAAGACAGATTCTTAGTATGAGCCAGAGCTGTGGTTTCCAAATCCTGAGGATTGGCTAGCCCACCTGCCATTGTCTTTCTGTTTGGGGAGTCCCTGTCTGGGCCCTCAAGAAGGAATTTCCAGGACCACAGGCCTGGCTTCCCAGTGGTGGAGGTGGCGGCAGAACAGCTTGTGGGGATGAGTCCTAAAGAGGTGGGACAAAGTGCTGTTAGTGCCTGGGTGTGGAGGTGCTGTGCCTTTAAGCAGCCTTCACTGGGGGTGAGATCTGTGGGTCTAGACCTACCCAGATGTGGGGCTGGTAAGGAGGAGCTGGTAGACTCCTCAAAGGCTTGTGGGCTCCCCAGCCTCCTCTGGGGGACACTAGGACCTATTCTTGAATGCCCCACTAAGACCCCTGTGAATAGGCCTGGGACCATTGAACCCTGGTTCCTTGGGTCATTGAGCAAGACAATTTCCTCTTTCTCATCCTCTCCTGCTTCTCTGGGTGGTAGATTCTTGTCCACTTCTGGGTTGGATGCCAAGCTTGGCTCCTGTACACCCTGGCTGTTCTCCGGCTCCTCATCAGTGTCATCCTCTGAGGAGTCTACCTCTCGGATAGCTTCTTGCTTTTGCAGTGACTCTCGTCGTTCAGCTCGGTCCTGCCGTAATGTGCCTAAGGCCCGTGAAGGAGTAGCCTGCAGCACTCCCTTCCCTTGCAATGCACCTTTCCCAGACAGCACAGCCCTGGTCCCAACTACCTCCAAAGGACTGGCTTCCCTGGGTGGCAGGTCCTTCTTTAGGTCACAGTGGGGCAGGTCAAGCCCATGCTTGTGAGAAGTGGGTAGCTTCTTCTCAGAAGCAGCCAGTGCAGCTGCCAGTTTCTCAGCAGACTGCACCCTCTTAAGTAGTGGTGAGCGAGGTGGCTCTGCACTCTTGGGCCTGGAGAGTTGCCTGCCTAGCGGAGGTGACAAGTGAAGTTTTGTGGGAAAGGCCTGGGCTCCATGGCCAGACAGCGGTGATGGGGAACGCTGAGGTGAAGCTGCTGGTGGTGGAGAAGGGGTGTGGGCCAGTGGTGACAGTGGGATGCTGCCTGCTGACTTGCGCCGTGGAGAGCGGTACTGCCGTTGGAGCTTGGGTGCCAGACCATGGAGGGAGCTGGGCCGTGTGTGTGCAGAACCAGCTGGGGAACTGGGCACGCTGGAGCTGGGGGAGCTGCTCTGCGATGAATTTCCTCCCACTTTATACAGAAAGACAGACAATGACAGAGCCTTGTTAGCAGTGAGAAGTGACTGAGGCAAGAGACTG